GCCGTCATCGGCCACGCTATCGCCGCTGTGCTCCACGCCTGAGGCGGCCCGGACCTCCAAACGCTCTGCTGCTCCTGCCTGCTGGGGCACAGCACAGCCAGGCTACTGGCATGAGGGACTCTGGGCAAGGAAGGGACAAGCTGTGGGCTGCGCGCAGACAGCTCTCCCAGGTGGCCCAAGCTGGCCTCCACAGGCCCCCCGAACAGTCCCAGCTGGCCTCAAGAGGCCCCCCGAGAAGCTCAGGGCGGTCGCGAGAACCTCGCGCCTCCTCTGGCGGCACCCGAGGGGTGCTCCGCGGTCCAGGGCTGGGGTGTTGAGACCGGGCCTGTTGAGGCCGGCTGGGGCCACCCGGGGGGGCCTGCGGGGGCCAGCTGGGACTCCCTGGGGGGGGCCGTCCGTGCGCAACGCCATGCCTCGCCACTTGCCACGATGAGCTGTGCAGAAGGAGCGGCGAGACGACCCTTTCTTGGGGGATGGGGGCCCAAGAGCGCATAGGCGCACGGGGAACGCCGGGGGAGCGACCACGGAAGGACCTACGGTCAGGGACACTTTTGCTCAGCGTGGCGCGGCGGCGGCCCCGGCGACACACTATGACCAACCAGCGGGCAGCGGATAGCGGACTTATGCACTGCGTGTCGGGAGGCTGGACAAAAAACTCGGGACGTTGACGCTCGAAGTCGGGGGCGTGATTCGCCTGTCGCGCCCGAACGTGGTGGGCCAGAGCGGGCGGCACGATACGCTACGCGCTCCTGACCGTAAGGGGACCGAGCTGTTCCTCACTTCGGCGTCTCGGATGTACTCCGTACGCCGTGCGACCCGTCCCAACCATTAGAAGTAGCCTGGCGAAGGACCAAGCCACATGCAGTTGTGAGCCCCTTTGGGGGCCAGGACACACGTGAAGGGTGTGCCAAGATGGGTGCGGCGGGCGCATGCGAAAGCAACCACTGGGGCCTTCGGTGCAGCTCCCTTTGAGGCCACGAAACGTGTAAGGGGCGTGCCGACATGTGTGCGGCGGGCGCATGCGAACGTAGCCATTGGGGCCTTCGGTGAAGCTCCCAGTGGGGCCACGAAACGTGTGATGGGTGAACCGAAATGGGTGCGGCGGGCGCATGCGAACGCGGGGCCTTTGGTGGAGCCCCCTGTGGGGACACGAAACGTGTGATGGGTGTGCCGAAATGGGTGTGGCGGGCGCGTGCGAACGTAGCCATTGGGGCCTTCTGTGGAGCTCCCTATGGGGCCACGAAACGTGTGATGGGTGTGCCGAAATGGGTGTGGCGGGCGCATGACGTGGTAGCGTGTCGCGTCTTAGCGTGGTGTTGAGCAGGGATCGACAATCCCGGCATTCCCATAGGTCTACCCCGAAATATTCTTAGAACCCAAAAAGTTCTAAGAACAAAAACCATGTTCTTAGAACATAAACCCAATGTGTTAAAACGAAAAATATAAACAAATCATGTTCTAATAACATTCCGTGCAAACCACGAAAGGATCTTAGAACATTCTTTGGTGGGCCTATAAGCAAGCCAAGACGCTTCGCCACTGCTTGATGCTGGGCCAGAACTGGCGACGCGACACGCTATGCCAGAACTCCTGGCTGTGACATCGGCGTATGTGGGATGAAGTGTGATCGGGCCCACCACAAACCACTACCGCCGACGACTGCCCCTTGGCATCATGTTGACGATTCCTTGGGAAGGATACCGAGGTGACCAGCCGATCGTATTGCACGATGGCAAGTCATAAAAAAGAGGGGGAACGGTTTAAAGATAGCATCCGAATATTGTTGACAATGTTGTGGGATTTGCATTGTGGCAATACTGCCGACATAAAGAAACAAGTAGAGGAACTCAAAAAGATGCATCCCCTGGAACAGCTCCTGATAGCACATGTCCTGGTTAGCTGCAACGACATTTGTTATTCACAGAAGTCCGACTACGGCTCCTAATGCAGATCTCAACCAGCTCCAATTACAGCCCCTGGAACAACTTCCACGTAGCTCCTGCCATTACAACTCCGGTTATACATCACTCTGGACTGTAAACCTCCGCCTAAAACTTCTTCGCCAACACCTGGCACAGCCCAACCACGGTACGTCATGGTCCAACTACCACTCAAATCCGATGCCAACTTCTACTACAGCACCTGAACTATCCTCAACTGCAACCCCCTTGCCGTCCATCTCCCCTTGTGGCTCATGGCAACTGCAGATCCCATCCGCTCGTCGTGGCAATTGCACCCCGGTGCTGTGGACCTCCCTCCTTTCTCATTCGCCCCGCTCCTCCTCACCCTCCGCTTCGGCTCCGTCGGTCCCGTCGGCGGCCCGGTTGCGCGCCCAGGGAGGTAATGGGGGAGGGGGAACGATGAAAACGCAGCTTCTTGGCCCAGGGCCGGCTGTCTCAGTCATCACCCCAGGCGCAGCCGCGGAAAGACAACGCCTGGTAAGTTCTTAATCCTCATCCTGCATTGCTGCCCATCGCGCCTCATCCCCGTCCTCCCTCTTCTCCTCGCTCCCTCCCTCTCCTCCTCCTTGTCAGTATCCCTCTCGGGCACGCCACTTCTGCGACCCTTGCCCCCGAAAGGAAGGAAACAAGGGAGGCGGGGCCGAAGCAGGAGCAGGACAGCGGTGGAGAAGAGGAAGGAGGGAGCGATGAGGCGGAAGCTCGCCCCAGGCCAAGGCAAAACTCCACGAGCGTCTTGGCACTGCAGCCCGGCACACGGCGACGACGGGGCCGAGGGAGAAGCTGGAGTCCTCCTCCTCCTCCGACGACGACGACGACGATGACGACGACGACGACCGAGGGAGAGGAGGCGTGATTGAAGGAGCTCCACGCAGGTCCCGTGCTTCCGCGAAGCGGTCCCCCAGCAGACGGGTGAGGGGTGGGGGCGGGGTCGAAACTCGGTGCCCGGCGTGAAGGACACGACCGGGGCACCCGGCGGTCCGAAGAAGCGGGCAGAGACATGAGCTCGGGAAGGCGTTGAGATCGGAGAGAGTCCCCGCCCGCCCCCTGAGGGGACACCGTCCGACTCTGGAGATAGGAGGGCGCCTAAAGCAGACTGGGACCGGGAATCCAAGGACAGCCACGTGCCTCTCCAACGACCGATGGGCACTGAGCGAGGCGGATCCTGAACGCCCTCCCCCAGGACCAGCTCGTCATCCCGAGGCGCTTCTTGACGATCCTCCGGGCCGAGGGAAGGCTCAGGGAGCACGACCACGGCAACAACTTTTGAGGTCGGCGGCTGGGCAGAGCAACTGCGCTGGCGGAAGCAGCAATGACAACGGGGATGCCTTTGATGCGACTTGTGCCACGATGCAGAAAAAAGGAGGGAGACAGGGAGGGCGGCCGAAGGAGGAGTGAGGGAGCAGGAGCCGCTCGGGGGGACGGGTGCGGCCGGCCCCGCCGGCGGGGGAGCGGCGGCTGCTGCGCCGGGGCCCGGCGGCGGCTGGGCGTAGTGCAGACACTGGAGCTGCCGGTGGTACAGGTTGTGTAGCGAAGAGTGCCAAAGCCACAAGTAGATGGGCGGACGGCACCAAAAACACATGACCAGTTTCCCACAGGATCCGTTTGTCGGCGGCGAGCCGAAGGGGGGAAGTGAGAGGAGGCCCTTTCTCAGAAGGCGGCGGCGCCCTCGCGTCTTCAGGAGGGCCGCCTTCGCAGAAGGCGCGAGGGCCTGCGAGAAGTACCGCCTCCTTCTGAAAAAGCTGGCCCCTCCTCCTGCTCCTCCTGCTCCTCCTGCTCCTGCTCCTCTTCCTCCTCCTCCTCCTCCTCCTCCTCCTCCTCCTCCTCCTCCCCCTCCTCCTCCTGCTATCTCCTCCTCCTCCTCCTCCTCCTCCTCCTCCTCCCCCTCCCTTCTCTCCCTCCTCCCTTCTGCCTCCTCCTTGGGCCTCTGCCTCGCGCGCGGCCCCGCCGCCACGCTTGCTTCGTGACGACGCGCAGCCCCCCATGGCGGCCGCGCGCCGTAGAGCGAGTGGTTGTCGCCGTCCACCGCACCGATCACCTGCCCCTCGCTGTTGCAGAAGACCTCGGAGCGGCCGCGGTGAGTATCGTTTAACCGATCCCCATCCCCAGCGGGTTGGCCTGGGCCCCACTGGCCGATTCACCCCCCTGGATAGGGATATGGGTCGTTCCCTTCGGGCTTCGACGGGCGTCTCCCAAACAGGGGTGGTAACTTGGTGGGGGGTTCGAAGGGGACGGAGATGGGGAGGTCTCGAAGGGGACGAGGATTGGGATGGGGGTCGGTAACGCAAGGATAGGACGAGGATAGGGATGGGATGGATAGGATAGGGATAGGGATAGGATAGGATAGGACGGAGATAGGGCCGAGGATAGGACGAGATGGGGATGCCTCCAAGGGGACGAGGATAGGGATGCTGAGCGGGGCGCCGAGGAAGGGAGCGCACGGCGCCCGGGCATCGCTGGCAGCACCGTCGGGGGCGCAGGGCTCCCCACCCGGCCGCCCACACGCATATCGCGGGATGTCCGCGAAGGCGCTCGCACGATCTCTGCTCCTGGGCAGACAGACAGAAGCCGTACGCCCACTGGCGCGTCGGCAGGCGCTACATGATACATGAATTCAAACGTTCGGAGAAGGAGGAGAACGCACGAAGGAAGGGAGGGACGCGCGACGAGCGGGGACGGGAGGCGAGGCGGAGCGAGAGAGGGAGGGACGAGCGTCCCCCCCTTGTCTCTACTCCTGGGCAGGGCTGAACCTAAACGGTGTTTTTCGTTCTCGTTTTGTCTTCGCTTTCCCTCGTTTCGTCTTCAGTCCACCGTCTACCGCAAAACGAAGCCGAAACGAAAACGGCCCACGAAAACGCCGAAACACCGTTTAGGTCCAGGCCTGCTCCTGGGCCTGCTCGGGCGGGCTCCCGAGCTTCGGCCTGGCGGCTGCCCTCCCCCCCCCCCGCCCCCCTCCTTGCCCCGCCGCATGCTCCAGAACTTCCCAGATCGTCGTAGCTCGCTCTGGCATCGTGCCCAGGCGAGCTCGTGGGGGCTGCACGA